CTATTTGGTTGGAGGCCATCGCTATTAGGTTGGAGGCCTTTGCTATTAGGTCGGAGGCCATCGCTGTTAGGTTAAATTGCATTCTATGACATGGCTTCTTATTTTTTGTTAAAAAGAATATAGCTAATGTCGAGATCATAAGAGATCACTTGACCGAGGCCAGTTTTTTGTTTCACCCAAGGAGCAATATCTATATAGGTTTCAATCTTGATACACTATGTGAAGGAGAAGAAAAGATTTGCCAAAATGTTCAGCAAGATGCAGGAGGACTGACGATGTGGTTGTAAAACACCAGTTCGTGGTCAAGCTGCTAGGTCTTCATTTTCACAAGCATAGCAGACAGTGATCGACAGCTTTCAATTGTTCTTGTTTGTGCAGGTGATATGGTCCAATAGAAATCATAATATGGCCCTGTGTCCGCAAAACAGAAACTGTACGATGGATTTAAGAAAGTGTGCTTATGCTTTCCTCCTGAAGTGCTGCGTCGTGCAAACTCCCTTGCACACTTTTGCTGCCCCTGCCATCAGTGCTGCTCTGGACCGAACATTTTCAGGTGTTCTTTGGACCTGTGGATTTTGCATATATATATATATATAAACTGTGGAATTCACAATTGGTAGCAACAACTTGCAAACAGCGCACCTTGCGCTAAGCACGCAACCAAGCTTGCAACTCAACTAGCAAACAGCGCACCTCACGCTGAGCAGATCCCCTTCTGTTTTCCGCCGCCTCTGCTTGAACGAATGCCGGTGTCCTCACCAGCGAAAGAATGCACGTCCTCGTGCGGTCGACTTACAAGACCATGCAAGGCCCGCCCACGCCGCCCTACGACCTCGTGCCTAAGGTCTGCGGACATGGATGAAGAACCTTCTGGACCTGGTTGGAAAGGTTCGAAATTCACACTCCCGAAAAATCTAAAAACTCTGTTTTTCTTCTTCAAATGGATCTTCAGCAACATGACCAGTGGATAGCCATTGCGTTCGGGTTCTATTGTCAGCCCTTTGTTTGAGAACCTGAAGTTCATCATGGAGTTGATAGCGTCCCTTTTGAAGGGTATGACGAAGAAAATGGCTTTGCATAACCTTCGTTAATGCATGGGCAAGCTGAGCCCCTGTATGTACCCAACGCAGGGTCACGCCCTCATCCAACATATCCTTGATCGCCCTGGCCTGAAGCTGTGTCCTAAATTCTTGACAATTTGGCTGAGCCGTTCTTGTCACAAGGTCATAGAGCGATTTGCAGTCCGTGACTGCCACTGATTTTGGAAGTTGCTGAGCCAAGTACGTCGTCGAAGACATCGGGGCAGGGCTTTCTTGGAACACCTTCTTTGGTTGTTTCCAATTCAAGTTTGGATTCAGGAGCCGACCCCAGAAAAGACGAATCCATGACATCTGGTCGAGACTCGTTTGGAGAGATGTCGCTTCGGCCGCTAAAGTACTTGTCACTACTTTCTGGATTTTCTTACAACCCCAAGACAGTGGGCTCACGGCACATTGAAAGTTGTCTGAGATGTCTTTGTGGGTGGCCATGATGATTACCCCTGTGTGGCTCTCTGGACTTTTGGCTGAGGCTTTATATCTTTTTGCTTCATGCAACACACGATTTGCGTCATGAAGGGTTTGAACAGTGGCTCTATTTATCTCACTTTGAAGATAGCTCAATCTGCTCGAGAGATCAGGGCGTGTGTTGGTTGCAGCGTATTGGAGACTACCAATTAATGCTCGGAGACTGTGTTTCTCTTCGGAAGTGACAGGTTCCGTCAGGCATGTTCGCCTGTTAGCATTCATATGGATTGGCTCAATTTTGCTGACGTACTTACTTTGAGACATGATGATGCTTTGATCTGGCTGTTGAGAGATGTCGACTCCTGAAGGTGAACTGGCCTGTCTTCTTACTACCGAATGGAAACTTGGCCTCGAGCTTGGAGATCTGCTGATCGAAATATTCATCACCCCCACACAAACCATCGTCGACATGGACTCCTAACACTCCGGATGGCATTGTTTTACCTGATTGGTGCAGAATGTATGCGCATGGGTCGAACGGTGCGGGAACAAAATTCAAATCCTTTAAGGTTCGATCTAGCTCCCTATGCCACAAATACGGGGCATCTATCAAACCGTATGCTGATTTCTCCAATTTGCATACTTCACCTGGTTTCAAGTTCATTGCCCTTCGGAGTTCTTCGACGGGTTCGATTGCCAGGACTCTGTTTTCCTGGGTCTTTCCTTGCAGAAAGGCAGCGCGAATGTCGAAACTCTTGAGAGTCCATCCCATTGAGCTGATAAGCTGTACTAGTAGCATTTTGGATTGTTTGCCTAGTGTCGGGCTATCACGGGGTATTGAGTCGATTTGGGGGTCCTCAAATCCAAGTACTACTAAACGAGCCTTCGCCTTGTGGGTCTTCGGTCCAGGTCGACATGGGATGTCGCTGTGGGTTGACTGCTCGTTCTCCAAGGGTTTCCAAATGCATATCCATCGGCATCGCAGGATTTGCTCCTGAGTCAGCTGATTGCGAAAGATCTTGCTCACCGTTCCGGTGTCTAACCAATTTTGAATTTCTTTTGCCTTTGCTGAATCGAAGAGGGCTTGTTCGGACTTCGACAACTGATGGAGCTTCACCTCTGATCGATCACGTTTTGCGTTTGATGCTTCCAAGAGGAAATCTTCGTTTGAGTGTTCATTTTTCCAACTCTTGATGTCATCTTCAGAGATGATTGTTTCCCATTTCCATCCGTCCTTCGGATTCTCATGGCATGTTTCTTCCTCTACGCACAAAGGGTGGTCACAGAGGAGCTCATCATCCGTGTCATCCGGTATCGGAGTTTCTGCAGGTGCAATGCTTTGACGGTCATTTGACACGTTTCCACTAGACCTGGACTCGATGTCTTCAATGGGTTCTTGGTCTGGTTGGTCTTCTGAGCTGCTTGCAGGTCTAGGTTCGGGGTTACGGGGCTCCAATTCGACTTCGATTGGATTTTGTTAGACTTCCGGGATTTCAGTTGGAGTTGTTTCAGGTTGTCTATTTCTCACTTCACTTTCTTCCTCTATCCCTGGGATAGCATTGACTCTTCGTGGAATATTCAACTGTTCTAAAGCACTTACTTCTCGAACATGTTCGGGTGACACTTTGACCAGGTTTCCCATGTGATTGCGCCATATGCAGTGCTGCCCTTCTTGTTGGATGATCCGGGCTGGTCCAATCCAGCCCCGGGTGGATGGCGTTTGCCTCCAGATCATCACCCATGTGCCGGCTGCATACGCGCCGCGGTTCGGGCGCGTCCGATGCAGCATTGCTCTCCGAAGGTTGGCATCGTTGTCAGCCAGGTGGAATGCTTTTCATGCGGCTTCTCGCTTGGCTAGTTTTTCTCGAAATTGGATGCCTTGTTGGGTATCTTCCTCTGCTAATAGGTGGGATGGGAGACTATAGTCAGATGTGATTGATGCAGGGACCCTGAGTGTCTTTCCAAATGTTAAAACATCTGGGGAATATCCTGACTTAAGACTCAATGCGTTCTTTGATGATGTGCACTGTGCTAACGCAACTTGAAGGTCCTGATACGACGCAATGGGGAAATGCTTGCTCATACTTACGAAGCATGGTTTGTAGGATGTGTCCATGGCGTTCAACCTTTCCTATTTGCCAATGTGCTCCGGGAGCTGCCACGGGGATCGAACACTGAACTGAGTCAACATGCTGGAAAATTCACGAGACGTGAATTCTGTTCCGGCATCGGTGTGGAGTTCGATTGGAGCACCAGCCCACTGGGACCAGCCTGTCACGAGTGCTTCAATCGCTGCCTGACTGTTTTGGCCTGATGATGCACATGCAACGTGATAATTTGTTCCATAGTCTATCATGTGGTAGAAATGGTACGTTGTTCCATTGAGGGCGGTGTACATGACTCCATCAATTCCTATTCGATCATTGAAATCGAGGTCATCCTTGATGGTCGCAGTTCTCTGTACTTTGGGTTGTTGTTCATTGGTACACGTTGAACACTTCATGTCGAGGATTCCCTGACTGAGGCATGGGGCATGTCCCTGTTCTCGGAGGACCTGGCTTAGACGGGCGTGACTAGGATGTCCCAGATTTTGGTGGAGTTTGATCAGGAATGTCTTCTGTTCTGGGGACAACTGCATGAATTTGGGACCATGTTTTTCACTTCTGAGGTCGGCTTGTTGGCTTGTGATTCGTGGAACACTGCATGGATCACTGTCCTGGTGACGGTCCTCCATGTTCTCCGGCACATCATGCGTCTGTGCTTGACTCGCAGGCTCACTGGAGGTCTCTGGCAACGCTGGCGGACAGCCAGAAGTCCTTTCATTGTCTGGCAGCGAACATTGTCACATTGATTCTGGCGGCGTGCGATGGTCTGATCAGTTAATTGATGCATCAATCCTACTTACAATAATTGCTTTTCGGAACGGTGCTTCGTTTTTCACAAGATCTTGGGGGGGACCAACTGTTCTATCAGAGCCCTTGCATGCAATGACTCGTTTGATGTGTTTTTCCGGAAAACCTTCTTGGAGTTGTTGGATGATGACTTGATCAGTAAGGTCGGTCTTTCCTACTCTCCGCAACATGGGTTTTATCCTCTCGAGTCTATAGTCTCTAGTTTTTGTTGTCGAGACTGGTTCGCAGGAATGTCTTGCTCGGCGGTCTTTCCGTCGATGCGACGGCGCTTCACAGTTCCATTCAGAACCTCCAATGGAGTTGGAGGCTGTCGGGCATTCGAAGAATTGTGAGGAGGATTGATGCAAGGTCGCTTCGACATCTCCTCTGGCCTCTCTGGATGATCTCTAGCATGGCTCACTAGGATTGGAACATATTCCTTTTGCTTTACCTTCGTGATCAACTTCGCCACTCTTCGAGCAAACTTCCTAGGATATTTTTCGGCGAACGAACTGCATGAGATCCCCCCTTCGTGGGTTTTGATCGATCCAGCAATGGCCCTGTGCTCATGGTTTCGATGACACGTGCGCCCGTGGAGGGCGTCACGCATGTCGATTGATGTCGTTCGAACTGCCATGCCCTTCTCAATGTGCAAACCTGTCCTGGGCACTTGAGGTCCCCTGCATTGCGCATGTCGAAATGGGCTTCTCGTGTGACCTCGAACAGTTCATGCAACATTGGAGTTTTGAACATCAGGGATTGCCTAGCTTGTTCCCAATGGAAGTGAGTGCCCTGACTTCTGGTGATTCTCAACAACACGATACCCAGAGCTAGCTCATACAGACGGGAGTCTCGTTCATGTTGGACATGTTCGAAGAGCTCAATCGGTCGTTGTTCGTTGAAACGATACCAAGCACACCATGGGCTACATGTCGGACTATACCATACGTTTCGTGGCCTGTTCATGAACATGATCTCAAACAGAGTTTTTCGACCGTCTGGAGTACTGAGATCCCCTTGGCTTAGTCCCATACGAACAGCTTTCCCATTGAGATTCTGTACCTGCTTTGTCAGTTCGCTGTTTTCATGACAAAAGACTTCAACCAAGTGAATCAGGCAGGCGTCGGACGAACTCTGGCAACGATCTTGCACAGACTTGGCTTCTTTTGAGATCTCCCGAATCATGCGGTTCTATAGCTTGTCTTGCTGTTTGACACTTTCGTGATCCTGAACTACCAAACCTGGAGAAGTCTCAAAAGTGTCTAGCCAGCCTGTGGTCATGAACTTCGAAGGTGCGCTACCACCTCCTGGAGTGCACTCTCCAGTGACAGCGTTCGATTCTGGAGGGCTGCCATGTCGGCATAGATCATTTCCGGCTCTTCGATGACTTCCCCAATGGGCTCCCAGCTCTGGTCCGCCTGAAAGTCTTCGAGATCCCGTCGGGGGTCACAGGCATCTGTGCACTCGACGCCCCGGCCTTGGCTTTTGGCTTGGCCGGTGTGGTGCAGTGAGTCGGGACCTGGACTTCTTCCTGCTGTTCGAGATCCTCGATGCGACGGTTGATGTAGTGAATCAACAGTTGATGCTCTCCCTTGGTGCTCGTCTGGTACTTGCTCCCGAACCACCCCTGCTGTGGCTCGTTTTCCCACAGCTGCTCGTAGGTTTTGCCAGCGAACTTCACTAGCTGCTTTCCCTGTTCCTTGATTGGAAGCTGCTGGAACTCCGCTCGTTTTCCCACAGCTGCTCGTAGGTTTTGCCAGTGTGAGCCTTGCCGAACTTCACTAGCTGCTGTCCCTGTTCCTCGATTGGAAGCTGCTGGAACTCCGCTAGTGACATCTCGTCGGCTGCTTGCTGTGAGATCTGCTGTACACGGGTCAGGCGAGCGAGCATGTCGGTCTCCGGTGGCATGGCGATCGACGATCGCAGGTGGACGAGGGTACCTGCACGTGCTCGAACAGGAGAACTTCGGAGCTTTGCTTTCTGGAACGTTATGCTTTGGATTCAAACTCGATCGTGACGGCGCAGCTCGATCCGGCCTATTCGAATGTTCTTCGAATCGATCAATTAGATCCCGGACGGATGGCTTCGGTGTCGGTTTGATCTGAGGTTCGGATGTTTTGCTGTTCTCGTTTGTTTGATGTCCGTCTTCTCGAGGCTTGCAAACTGCTGGCTCCTTTTCCGTCTCGGACACATGGAACGTGTCTGCAAGGCTTTCCGCAGAGGTGTCACTGCCGGGCTTGGCCAGTTCATTCAAGTCTAGGACGTATAGTCCTCGTGAGTTGACCTGGATGGGGATGGCTCTTTTCAACAGTGAACTGTGAAGCAAACCCTGTGGCGAGTGTCAATCGTGGCACCGACGGCTCGGAACAGCGTGTTCGACAACAGAAACGGTGTCATACCTGGTACAATGGCTATCTTCAACTTCAGCTTTCCGATGGGCACAACTAATGCATGATGACTTTCCTTAAGAGTACCATGGTTTCCAAAACGAAACTTGACACGACATGGACACCTTGGCACCTGTTGTCGAACTTCCTTCGACAGATTATTGATCAATCCTGCCACGAAGCAGCTTCCTATATGACTGTCTTGGTGGGTCCTGCATCGATGATACCTAGCGAATTTGAGATCGCAAAATGCGACTTGGCATCGGCTTCAGGCTGTCGGCTCAACGTTGATTCACTTGAGCTGGTCAAGAAGGCCAGAAACCACGATTCTTCACCCGATCTGCCAATCTCTTGCGAGCCTCAGCGTAGGTCGTTGAAGACAGTGCTAGGTCGGCGTCGTCCTGAATGGCGTCCAACATTGACTGTTCATATTCCATGACCAATGCTGCGTCCTCATCTCCTTCGTTGGCCCACTGTTCAATCAGCTCAGTCCTCCGCCTGGAATGCAGCATCTTCGGGCATGTAGTTGTCACCTCCCATGGTGTCCTGAGCCATGAATGCGTTGGCCTCGTAGGTCTTCGTGCGACCTCCAGTGACCTTTCCAGCATGCGCCTCTTGGAAGAACTTGCTGCCGAGCAACTTGAGGTTGGACACAACGTCTCTATATTCCAAGGATCCGGGAGACTCAACAATCAACCTCTTCTTGTCCTCGGAGCTCAAAGCGGAATTCCGCAGCAAGATGTATGCACGAAACTCGTCAATGCCAACCTTCATACCCAACAATTCTTCAAACTGGTGATCATGCCGGGCCAGGTAACTTTCGTTGGTCTCATCTGACCTTTGAACTGTTCCGTATATGGCCCTCTCGAACCTCTCGAACTTGCTTTCGAGATTCGATTTTCCCCAGATGCCTCCGAGAGCTCCGACGATGGACTTCACTCCTTCCAGATTGCCAACTCGCAATGTCTTGGGATCCAGGCGAGCAACCCTTTGAAAGGCAGATCCCTCGCACTGAAGGGCTATACGAGGTGCCAAGTGCTGCAAATGCTCAGGTGGCCACAACTGAGCCAGGAACTCGACCTTCTTCGTCCACTCAGTCAAGTCTGTCTCGCCAGGCTTAAACTGCGGCACCTGATTCCATGGAAGATGGCTCAAGCCTCCTCCTGAGGATCCAGTCGAACCCCCTTCCTCCCTGGAACCGCTCATGGTGGGAAGCTGTCAACGCAACTGCGCTGCAACCAATGTAATCTATGCTCAACACAGGCACCATTGGATTTGTAGCAATGTCAGCACACCACAACTCAATGTATCAATGTTGCTATCGACTTGCCAACTCGACCAATGTACACGCAGTGACCTCACACGCCAATGTACAATGCTTCAAATGCAACTCGACGTCAAGCCAACAAGATCAAGCGTTGCAGTTCTCTGACAGCTGGAGCAGGAGCGGATGCTCCGCTACCAATGTGGAATTCACAATTGGTAGCAACAACTTGCAAACAGCGCACCTTGCGCTAAGCACACAACCAACCTTCCAACTCAACTAGCAAACAGCGCACCTCACGCTGAGCAGATCCCCTTCTGTTTTCCGCCGCCTCTGCTTGAACGAATGCCGGTGTCCTCACCAGCGAGAGAATGCACGTCCTCGTGCGGTCGACTTACAAGACCATGCAAGGCCCGCCCACGCCGCCATACGACCTCGTGCCTAAGGTCTGTGGACATGGATGAAGAACCTTCTGGACCTGGTTGGAAAGGTTCGAAATTCACAATAAACATATATATATATATATGTATATATATATATATATGTGTTCATATATAAATATTTTAGTTTTTTTGAGTTAGCTTGTTGCTACTCCACTGTGCAGGTTGTGACGGCTGGTATGAAGACACCTACATCCAAGCCTTTCCATACAACCAAGATGGAGGGCTTTGGTCGTGTGCATATATTCGGTCAGGGTTGCAACTACATGCACCGAGAAGAGGGTAATGGCAAGTAGCTATTTTGATCGAACATGCAACATAATAGGCACGTTTGCAGGACATGTTGGTGATCTGCTGGGCAGAGCTTTTGAGTTGCAAAGGCCATGCCCCAACAAAAAGCACATGGAAGTTGACGTGCGTACGCAAGGTTTTTGGGGTTTATAAAAGCTTGGGAAAGAATCGATTGCACTGTGGAAATTCTGCAAATGCACGTTGAGACGTAGTGACTACAGTCTCTCTCTCTCTCTCTCTGTAGCCCGCTATCGCACGTGGTGGTGAGTTAATCCCATTTATGATCCCTAGCTGACTTTTGATGTTTTTTTCAACACAAGCAGGGGAGTTTGTTCAGTATCCGAATCTTTTGCTGACTTTGCTTTGCACACACAAGCAGGGGGCACAGGCCCATCGTAGATTGATCACCTCCATGTACCTGCCGCTGTGAATGCTGGAACATAACTATACACCATTCTTGATGCCAGGCTGTTTGGGTGTTACCTTCAGGTTCATTTACTTGCTCGCCATGTGCTTTGTCAACCTGACAGCCGACGGTGTCGCCTGTTCGATTGTACTTCGTAAGCAGTGGACTTAAGAGGTTCTGGGCTTTGACATTTTCCAAAATTTTCCAACGTTTTTCCCAAGGTGTGTGTGTGTGTGTGGGCGTGCGCGCGCGTGTTTGCAAGCAGTTTCGAAGGAGACAGAGTCCAAAGAAGCTTCATCATCTGGGAGATGCGAAGCAGAGGCCCTGCTGTCACAAACAAGCCTGAAACTCAATGCAGAAGGAATGAAAGAAAGGAAGGAAATAGGAGAGAACAGTTAACCTTCTCTAAATTCCAGGCCCTCCAAGAACAGAACAGAAAAAAAAAGGGGCAAACAAAAAACAACCTTCGATGGCTCTTCAACTGCTGTTCGACCTCCACCAAGCTGAAATCTTACTGCTGAGTTGAAGGATTTGCTGTTGAACATACTGTAATATTTGATACATGTTCATACTGCAGGAAACCCACAATTTCTTTTGAGACTTGGTTCTATTTAGTTCAATGTCAATGCTTGCAGGCGGAGAAGACTGCTTGAGGCGACCTATTGAGAAAAACAACTTGCTAGTCCTAAGTCTTACTGGGCTCTTGTCAGAGTCGCGAGCCATGTTCCATACAATGCTTGTGTGCTGAGACCGTGTGTCCCTTCCCAGCTATTGTGGTTCAGACATTTGTTGCCCCAACTCGGTGTGGTCCAGAGATCGCTGATTCAACAGAGCACATGGAGAGGCCAAAACCTCACAAATTCTTGTCCGTGAACCGTTTGAGAAGACCCCAGGCAGTTTGGAAAGATATCCATGTACAAGCCTGAAGCTGAAACGCCTTTCATATATATATATATATACATAATTTGCCGGTTTCCATGGATGGGCTTGACATCATCCTTGCAGACTGGCAGCGCTGCAGGCAGCTTGAATGCAGAGTCGACTATAAGAAACCATTTTGTTGTGTGGTGCTGTAAGCAAATTGAAGTTGGAGGCCATCGCTAGTAGGGTGGAGGCCATCACTAGTAGGTTGGAAGCAAACTATGAAGCAAACTGTGAAGCACCGTGCTGTTTACAAAGACAAGACATGCAGATCATGCAGGCCTAGAGGGGCTGTGCTGCCGGTGGACGGTCTCACAAAGGCAAGGCAAAGGAGAATCTATGTAAGATGAATATCTTCTCCGGAAAAGATGTTTGTCAAGAATTTGGGAATCGACCAGTTCAACAAGATTTTTAGCTTCATTTACTGCAGTTTGTTTGCCTACTTTTACCTACCTACTTAACTACCTGGCCTCCCCTAGCTACCCCCCCGATTTTGACGGAAGAAAACAAGCGAAGGGAGCAAAACATAGTATTAATGTCCATAGTTTACTGGAGCTCAAAAAAGCCGGGCAGTGACACTTGAGGCTGCAGACGGGGTTTCTCCGGGCGAAAACAACAAGCAAACGTCAGACGAGTCGAAAACGCAGAGCCTGCCTGTGTTTCTGATAAAGCGTGCTTGCTTTGTTGCATTGAACAAGTGCTAAGACAACCGTTCTTTATTTTTTTTTATCGCGCGAAGAAGTCGAAAATGCACAGAGTAATGCCAGATTTGGACAAGGTGTTTTTTTATATCCCCAGTCAAGGTGTGGTTTCATGCTTTTTGCATATCGCATTTCATGCTGCAAAAACCTTCAAAAATACTGCTGGCACCAGTGAAAATGGATGTGGTGCCTTTTACAGTGTAAATCACAGTGCATTTGCACGGCCAAAAGAAAAGCTATGTCTGATAGTCAGCCCTTTTTTTTTGTCTGATCGTCATTCCTTTCGGCCTTAAGTTTGCCACAGTGCTTTTTTGAAAGCATCGCGTGGCACCACGCATGCTTCGCATGCCTTTGCGCGAAGAATCGCGAGAGCTCTCAAGACCCGTTTCAACCCAGGCCCCTTGTTGAGGTAGTGAGCAGCAAGGAGGTTCCTGTGATCGATGGTATCTTTGGAATCATTGAACAAAAGGTTGCACCGTCGGAGCTCTCGCTTTCCAACATTTGCATGCGACTCTGCTATCTGGTCTCCGCCTGCCAACATAAAAAGATCCTTCTTTTCCTTGGCCACACCGTCTGCAACCAATCTACGCAACAAGTCCCTGGTCGAGTTGTCCAAACCCTTTTTGGGGATTGTGGAGAGGGGAGTCCAACGGAAGTTCAAGTGACTCACACCTTTCAGGGACAGCACTGCTGCAGTTTCTGCAGCAGAATGGAGTGCTCTGCTTCCATCGCATGCTGCTATGTGCTTCCCCTTTTTCAACTTAGAAGTAACGTGCACAGCTGTCTCGAGAAACATTTCCGGACCTGAAGCGGAACCCTTGCCAGCAACCTTGGGCGGCAATGGAACTACAGCATATTTCTTACTCTGTATCAACCCGGAAGCAGAGCGAAGTCGAAAAACCAGATGGCGACCCTTGTGAATAGTTTTCTTGACTGACGCCGGTCTCTTTACCGGTTGACCTTTCTTCAGCCGAACATGTAGCTTGTCAGCAGCACTCTTCTCTGCTTTCTTGTGGACTTCATGGGCTTCTTTCCTCGGATTCCGAACCGTACATGGCTATACATGAAACTCTTACATATAATTCGGTATTGCTCGTATCTCGATATTAAATTTCCATGTATATCCTGAAACGAAAACTAGGTGCACTTCTTTTGAAGGTCTCCGAAATGAAGTAGCTGAGGTGTCGAATTCCACCCCGGAATCAAACTGGAAATCTGCACTGTCAACGTATTCCGCAGTTGCCAACGCCAAGCGAATGTCCCTGGCCCAGGCTCCAACACAGTCCCTGTGCACGTTTGAGAAATGAGGCATGGCATCTATGGCTGTCTTAGTTCCGACCAGCCAACAACATCGCAAGAAATTCTGGTAGTCCGGCTCGACATTCCTGACACAACAGAACAGCTCCCGTTTCGAAATCACGACTTGAAAAAAGACGCAGGGGACCTGCTTTTCGAATCTAAAAACACAGAAAGCACAACGAGTAGCTGTCTTGCTTGAGAGTGCAAAGGCGTCCATGCTTCTCGAGGGCACTGCAGCAACGCATGTAAGTAGCAGGCCGGCGTCTCACACTTGAGTGGAGCATTTTCTAACCTAGATGTTCTACTCATAGGTTCCAGACAGCCCCAGCACCTGGGCAGTTCATCGCTAAGAACACCGTGGTCTTGCAAGAACTTTCGACACTGCAAGTTGGACCATGAAGCCAGCTCAGGAAAATTCAATTGCTTCAAGCCCCTCAAACCACCACCTGCTCCGTTGTCTTCGGGCGAAGCAGCGTAAGAAAGGCCTACGTACATCATGGAATTCCGTATTCGTCTCAAAAGAAGCGGAACGGGTTTTTGATGAAGAAGAAGGTAATGCCGGAGACTTCTTTTTCGTAGACATGGCTGCAGCGGCACTTGAAGCCAATGCAACTGCACTCTCTGTTCACTGGCAAGTGATTCTCTTTGCACATGCCAAAAAGATCACAGGAGGGAGACCGCCAGAGATTATATATCAACCACCAGAGATCACGAAAGCTAGCACCAGCTAGCTGGAGTTGTCCTTGCTTTAGCAAGTGAGGGGCTGGAATCCTCGGGATCGCCGCATCACGTGAAAACTTCATATGTAGGGGGGGGCCCCCCCCCCTGAAATGTAGAGGCCTACTTGTACAGGTTCCACTCCAGTGGCCTATCTAGTGTGTCCATGCTTGACTGCCATAAGGCTCAAGAGAGGGTCAATGGACCTAATAGGATAAGACTCTGCGTGAGCAAAAGACACTAGCGGTCTGCACCTCTACCGTGTACGCCCTAGTCACTCTTTCAGTGGTAGCGGAGCAGTGATCCTGGAAGACCCAGGTGAGCTCCTTTCCTAGGCATAGAATTGCTTGTGGGCAAACGGCCATGGATTGGATTGACGACTGGGAAGAGCCTGATGCGGATGTGGCTTATGAGCCAGCAGCCTACGTGAATAGGCATGTGAGAAGAGAACCAGCAGCAATAGCAATGACAACACAGGTCACTACAAAGGTGCCCCCATCTTATGATGGAAAGACTTCATGGTTTTCCTATGAGGATGCCATAGACGATTGGTGTGATATCACCGAGCTGGAAGATGAGAAGAGAGGACCAGCTTTGAGAAACAGATTAGAAGGAGAAGCAGCAGTATACACGTTTGTATACTGCTGCTTCTCCTTCTAATCTGTTTCTCAA